CGCCCACAGAGACCCTGTGCACCCGACAGATTCCCCTTCTCCTGGGCCTGGCGCGCTCCCTGGGTCGGTCAAGCGACGAGGACTGCCCGCTCATCTCGCACCTGCTGTCGGTCCACGGCCCGCCGCAGCCTGCGCAGTCCTGCCTGCCAGAGCCCGAGCCCGTCCAGCAGCGAGGTCACTTCAACACGTTCCGCTCCATCCTGCCGCGCACGCTGAGCTCGGTGTTTGTGCAGACGGAGGGTGGGGGGACGGCGGTTGTCCCTGACGGCGGGGACGGGGGATCCGACAGGAAGGCCAGCTACCGGGAGAGGTCAGTCACCTTACTAATTTGCATACCACGAGAGGTTAATTATCTCTCTCATTTGGATATGTGTCACGACGCACTGGAATCAAGTTCTTGTCAATTTTTTTGGCATGTATAGAGTTGTTGGGTTCAACTAAAAGCTTGTTCATTTGCCTTGCTTTCGATGAAAAAAATATCCATTTGTCTTGAGTAAAAGTCGAAATATTTGCGATTGAAGGAGGTGGGGGTCACCTGGTTTCAGAGGTGAAATTAGCGAAAAAGTGTCCGCCAAAGTTTGGTGACTTCCAAAGCTTGAGAGTCCTTGGAAACGGCAAATTTACAATTTTTTTTGTGCCATTAATTGTTTGTCAGTAAAATCCACCCAGAAATTTGTTTTTATGTTGAGTCAAAAAAACTAAACTTTGATAAAAAAAATTGCCAAACAGGCTGAAAAACGCCTGTATCTTTGAGTTCTTTATTTTGACAAGCGTCTGATTTCACCTCGATGTCTCATGCATAGTTACCTTTCTAATTTTCATATGAAGAGAGGTCAGATATCTCTCTAGTTCACATTTTGGGAAGGTCATTGACCTTTCTCTTGTTCAGATTTTTCCCTCCACATATCTTCAGTTCTCCCTCTGTTTTTCTCCAGATCCCCATCGCCCCTGGCAACGAGTCGCGACCTGTATACAGACGGGGCCTCCGCCTACGCCATCGTCGAACCCCTCCCTTCCGCCATCTACTTCAACAAAATCGCCTCCAGCTTCACCCGCACGCGACCTTGGGGCTTTGAGATCATCCCGGAGCTGGACCACTTGAAGTTTAGAGAGGGCCACCTCTCCCGGATACTCCAAGTGGTGAGAACAGAGATAATTGTCTCTCCGGGATACTTGAAGTGATGGGTACAGAGATAGTTTTCTCTCTGGGATACTCCAAGTGGTGGGTACAGAGATAGTTGTCTCTCTGGGATACTTGAAGTGGTGTGTACAGAGATAATTGTCTCTCTGGGATACTTGAAGTGGTGGGTACAGAGATAGTTGTCTCTCCCGGATACTTGAAGTGGTGGTCTCTCCCGGATACTTGAAGTGGTGGGTACAGAGATAGCTGTCTCTCTGGGATACCCCAAGTGGTGGGTACAAAGATAGT